CGTACGGAAAATAAAAAGATACCAATCAACGAACGTCCATGAAGGGTCAGTTATTGAAATAAAACGAAAGTGGCGCGTAACAGAGTTGATAAAGAATCTCAACATTGTCGTTCTCAATTGGAAAATGATACTTATCCCCTTACGATCCTCCACCGCTCACAGATAACAACGGGAATTATACGTTAAAGTGACGCATGCAACCAAGGGAGAGAATAAAAAGGAACAGAAGCGCACCTGCCAGGCCCATCGTAAAGGCTCTCTTTTTCGACCGGTTGGTCTCCGTGCCGGTGTCCCCGTCGATCTCGACGGATCTCCACTCTCTCGATCACTATCGCGACGCTGCTGACTTTCTTACCGGCTACTCTCGTTCGCAATTCAATCGAGAGATCAATCCTCGATCAGCTCCGCTGTGCCTCCATCCGTTGCCGACTACTCCTTCTTTCTCTCTTTCTCTCTCTCTGTCTCTAACTCTGTCTCTCAATGCTTTCCTACACGAGAAGCGTGTTCACGAAATGACGGAAATCACCCATCGTTTAAATCATCTTGCAACTAGACGATTTTAACGCGGTGTCGAAAAATTACGTCGTGACAAACGAGAACGCGAGCGATGGCGAGTGACGGTGATAATCACGACGGCGTTAATGACCTTCGCCAGACACCACGGCGGCGGTCCGGTGACGACTGGCAAACAGCTGTAAACGTACGCACGTTTTGCCGTTGTGCTTTACCGCGGTTTCGCAATGGTGGGAGACCAGTGGCCGCGGACATGAGCGTTAACGCGATCAAACGCGTCACGAATCTGCGAATCTTTCCCGACTTTATCTTTAAGTATGTATGTATATAGGTGGTCTAAAATTACGTAAGTGTGGTAGGTGAAGTGCTCGAAACATCCCCCCAAAAATTGAATTTTATAGTTACACTTTTTACTAGTATATTTGCCAATATATTAAATATATTTAGTTATGAGATAGATGTGTTGAATGTAAAAATAGTGAATTTAAGACCTCTGAAAGAGTATCTAGATACACTTATTTTTCTTTCCCAGAACAGGATTTTTTACTTCTTTCCGCCGGCAATTGGGTCTGTAAAAGCACTATCGATATTTTGATTGTATAAATTCTGATAAATTTAAATCTATAAAAAGTAAGTAAAATAATCTGACTTCATGATATGATAAAAACTCGATGATTCTTAAAGCTTTGGCATTTATATTTATAGTAAAATTTTTTCACATTTTTATAATCCGAAACAATACAAATTTACTGTTTTTCGATCTCTATTGTTGACGGAAGGTTCAAATTTATATTGTCGACAGAAGATCAAGAAAACTGTGTCTAGGGTGGCCACCCCCAATTAAAAATTAACAAATCGTATGAACTCATACAAAAAATTCTCTGATGATGTTCCAGACGAGGAAGCACGCGTTAGTTTTTGGTAAGACCTTCAAGAGATAACTTTCGTATCACTCAATGATTTACCCCCCCAAAAATGTAACCGTTAAATAAATTTAGTTATTGAAAACTATATGACACATAACGATAATTAAAATAATACTAACCATTGTTTATCTGGCTCTTCTCTAGCACGACAGACCTATCTATGTTAGAACAAAAAATGGTTCGTTACAGCCAACGCACAAATCCTAAAGTTTCTTATAAATAAAATGATAGTAAATTTCTGTCCTTATCACGACAAAAATTTACTGTCATTTTATTTATAACGATTCATCGTAGAGCCAGGTGGCTCGGATGACATTACGTCATTGCGTCCTCTAGGTACCGACGACGCATATGTGATCGGATGCGCGCAAATTGCATCGTTCTTTTTCGCGCGAGAGCCTACGTAAGCGTCGGCACGAGCTAAAAATACAGAAAGTGGGACTTGCGTTGTCGAAAATATATTGCCTCTCGCGCATACACACATTTATCTCATTCATAGACCATGCTATATATATATATATATATATCGCGCGTTTTCCACTGTTAAGAATCACTCGGCGTAAAGAGTAATTAATTAACAATGATTAATTAACAGCAATCATCTATGAAGATAATAACAAAAGCCCTCGAGAAAACGTAAACGTTAAAATTTGAGAGTAAATTCTCATTTGAAGTGGAATCCTTTGAGAAAGCCCTTTTCTGAGTTCAAAGAAAACTGTAGTATTCAGGTTGGATATAAATTATTTTATTGTTGACTGCTCTGTTATATTACCTCTTAGCTAATATTAAAAATTAGCACTTCACAGACCGGGGAAGCCACTATAATGCTGGCGCTAAAACAGGGTGATATTTGAACACAAAGAATACAATGATAAATAACGAATTACAACAAATTTTACTCAGGAAGAGCTATAAGATTAAAAAGACTCTCGTATCTATTGTTAAAAGCTCTCTTAGTGTTAAAAAAATAATTAGTATCCCAAGATACACATGTTTTCCTGGCTACCGTACTTTCCTCTACTCTAAAATATTAGCATGAAATATGTAGAAATTTTACAAACATATTATACTTAAAACAAAACTATTTATTGTTTCGACGAAAGAATTTTCTTAATTTTACATACGACCTCTGTTCATTGGCTGTTGATTGGCTCCTTCCGAAGCTATTTCCCGTGCGAAAAAGTATAATCAAGGTATTCGTTATTATTTCTTCTATCGATACGGTTGATTCGCTACCAGACGGCTGCGACAAAGAGACTGCTGAGATTGCTCGCGATTTTCGCGCAAACACAAGCCACGAAGAATGACATGTGTAACAAAGCTTCTGCTGGATGGATATACACAGAGAAAGAGAGAAAGAGAGAGAGACGGGAAGAAAAAGAAAGAAAGAACCGAAGTGAGTCAGTTTCCCTGCGATAAAGCACAATACCGAAAGCTCCTGTTGCAGCATTGACGGACAATGAGACAGCAAATGAAAGTGTGATTCATACCGTTTTCTTCGTGTTTCCTCCTCTTCTCTCCGCATACGTCAGGGATATGCTTATTAGTGCTCGCGTTTGTATGCATACTCGGTATCACACCGGTGTGGCAGTGTCGGGCATTGTTCGAAAAATCTGCGGGGGTGGCGTGCGACGACCGCGATAATTTCGCGAACGGGATTTATCGAGTACCGCAAGAAAACAGAAATATACCGACATCGTAGAACCGCGATATCTTTGGATGTCTGCCTCGTGTATTTTTAGATTTTTCGTATCGTGTCACGCGCGTTATACACGACCGATTTCTCAGCGTTAATTGCGAGATACCGCAGTAAACGCGACAACACTTCGCGGTGATATAATCGACGATCGACAAGTTTGTATTCCACACTTGTTTTTTTTTACAATTTTATATCTGTCTGATAAGCACCCATCGATTTCATCGAGATTATTGTTGCAGATCGTATGAGTTTCTATATCCATGTTTAGATCCATGATGGATTTAGAAAGAGAAAAATTTTCGAAATTATTTTACGAATATTTTCCGACATAATTCTGATAAAACGCGATAGATATTAAAATACAATGTGCGAAAAGTCAAATAATATACATCACTTATATGATAACGTAATTACAATTTAACGAAACCGACTCAGTAGAGTTAATAATAGGATTATAGATACAGTTTACATTTTCTATTAGGTAATTCGTCTATGTGCATAGTTATGTGAAAAACATTTGGCATATCATCCCCATATGTAGATAAGATAAGACAAGATAAGTAAGATAGGAAACATTCTCTCAATAAGATTTAGCAAGTTTGTCAAATTTTTCAAGTTGTTACAGTATGCAGAATAAAACAGTCAAATTATTATTCAGAATATTCGTTATTTTTATACCGACAGTCTGAAAAGAATATTTGTATAAATTCTAAAAGAACTAACACCATTGACGAGCAAGTACGACATGTACTTTTTTTATATTAAGCAGTTTTTGTTCCTTTAATTACTTAATTTAACTTTGCATGAGAAAAAAATGTTTACGTCAATGCAAATCATCCGTTAAATAAGATCTAAAGAATTGAATTGCAAATTAAAAAAATTTTTATATAATATTCATACACAAAAAGTATTTTTTAATAAATGTCAACTAACTGTTTTCCGAAATCCGGCATTCAGTCTGTTTTTTCGTTTTCTTATAAATTTAGTAATTTTGGATTTCAAAGTTCTATTTATGATCGTAAATATCGTCATATATTATGTTATGGTATGATAGTAAAAAAAGAAACAAGATATTCGTAATCTCTCTTTGATACCATCTGAGTAGCACTGCATTGACAGAGATAACGAACTAAACCGATAAAATATTGAGATAAAAAGATAAATCGATCTTCAAATAAAATAAACAGTTCTTTTATTTATTTTTCAATGCTGCCTTCCTTTTCGTCGTGTTATTTCGTCATGTAATTCCATTTGTGCACACATGTGTTAAAAATTTCGTAATGAGTTTAAATAACATCTAATGAAAACTTGTGGTCGTGGAATAAATGAAAAATAATAAATGATTTAAATGAAAACTAATTACGGTAGATTTATAACTTAGAAATGTAATGAATATGTATATTAAATTTCATGCAAATTCACATAAAATTTTATGGAAAATTACGCTAAATTTCATAAAATTTTATAAAAAATATTTTAAATTTCATTTACATGTTCACAAATATATCTTTTTAATTACAAATATGTTAAATTTAATATAATATCGTGAAATTAAATTCAACTTGTGTAACTTACAAATACATTAAATTTCGTAACATTTATTTTACGGTGAGTAGGGCCATCTGATTAGATACTTAAATACATGTTTTATCTTGAGATTAATTATTTTTTCAAAATAACTGATTTGATAATGTTGGGCAGCTCGATTTTAGTATTTCAGTAAAAATAATATAATTAAGCAGTCAACATTAAAAATCTCATTATTATTAAAAAAAAATAATAATTTTTAATTACCGAAAATTTGTGTAATTTCCGAAAAAAATCACGTTTTCTTATTATTATACAAACACGAAAGTACTCACAGGTTCCGAGATATTCACAAGTACTGAAATCCAGATCGGGTTGGCCAATTATATCGAAGGAAAAGGCTTCGTCATCGAGCTTCATCGCAGAGTGCTCCTTTTCCTTACGTTTCGCAGTAGCAATCGTCGTCGCGGAGTAACGAGACCACTCTTGAATTGTAGACAAATCGTCACAATGCGTGAGCACTACTGGGTATATGCGTTTCATAAACAGTGCGGCGCGGCGTACGACGTGTGGTACATTATTGTGTCGTTACGCGAATCCTAGTCTCTAATGGTTGACATGACCCGGCGACGTCGCTCGAGAGTATAACTTCGGAGGAGAGTTACGGAGGACGACTGTACACGACGGTTTGATCTCGACAGACGAACTAAAGTGCGGGATAGAATTTTTCGTTTTGAGAGATCGCTGGGGTAAACGGTGCTCGCAGTGGGAAGGAAGGAACGGACAGGAGGGGAGGAATAACTCGGAACTGATAATCTAATCTTGTCCTACTCGTCGTTACACTTATGCACATACAATGCATTAGATTCGTCGGAATGTTTTTCTACAAAACAATTAGAGAAATAGGGAAAGGAGGAAAGGATGACTAACTGGTAATCTTCGCAAAAAAGATAAATAGAGCATGAATAATATAGAAATAAAAACGGATTAACGGTATAAATATAATGGAAGCAAATATCTTAAAAACATCTACAGAGAATTTTTTTTCCTCTAGAAAACATTTATCTTTAAAATTAAAAACATTTCAGTCTTCGGTAAAATATAACTGTATTTTCAACCCTTATTTGATAAAGTTTCTAAATATTTTATTAGCCAACTGATATCAACTATCTTTCGTAGATATCGTTTTCGAGAAAACACTTCAAAATATTATTTTTTTAAGTGTGATAAAAATTATTTTATAATAGTAAAATAAGTATTAATAGAACTTACGCGCCGATAAAGGTAAATATATATTAACAACAATTTATTAAAACAAAAATTATCCTTTAATAACCTAAAGGACTACAACATAGTTCAAATAAGAAAAAAATCTATTACAAAATTGCATCTTATTATAAAGAATATTTATATACTTTAATTTCTTGTATTTATTAAAATAATTTAATTTAAAAATTAAAGGACGCAATATAAAAATATATCTAATTTATTCAACTTAAATGTGTTTTTCTCTATCTTTAGCACTTTAAACGTAAAGCAACATCCTTTTTTCCGTAACTGACGAGACGCAACTACAAATTAGAAAGAGAAAGATCTTTGTAATATGTGATTAATTGATGCTAAAAGAGGCTGTTTCTATGTCTGTAGTGCCAGATATTATCGCACCAATTATATCAAACATTGTAAGAATCATCAACGATGCGTATCTATTTTGTATGTACAACGACGGTAAGATTATGTAAATGATGATCATGCGAGAAAAACATGGCAATCAGTGTATGATAGACTGGCGTCCACTGCAACCAGGTCGACGAAGTAAGTGCTCGTCATGATTTTTTGCCATGGTACACCTGTCATACCAGTTTCCCCTTTGCGACAAAACAATATTTCATCTCCCAATGTCTCTTTAGAAGTTTTTGTATGTTTCATAAGTGTTTCTCCGAAGCAAGATATCCATTTTATTAATTTCTTCCATATATCCCTCCCCTTTTCCACTTCTTCCCGTCCCGATAGTTCGGCAAAACACTTATTAGCCGAATAAAGTCTCGATTAGACGACCCTAGTTCAATTCCACGTCCTATTCCCCAAAGTAAAATCTAATACATATGTTTTCCTCGTAAAATTTGTACGCGCAATTGTGGATCTTTTTTACCATCTTTTTATATTATTATCAATAGCTTCGTTTGAATTTTAAAATCGCAATAATTATAGCAATAATTTTATAAATAGTATCAATGAGTCATCAATAATATCACGTTCGTCTGTTCGAGGCGTTACACAAGCAGCTTGTATAAGATATGTAATAATAAGATGTAATAAAAGTTTGTAACAATATATTGTAACGAGGCGAGAACGGGGGGACCTATTTTAACATCGCGCACTAATTACGCTTCAAGCTTACGTCTTTATTATGATATTAAAATCACGATCGGCAGCAGTTTGTACGACAAAATAACAGTCGTATTACATGTAAATCTTAACTTTCAAGACAATTTGTCACGTCCTACGAATCCCTCGCTGTACTTTTCCAAACAAACTGACGTCATACATTCATATTCCTGCGACAAACGTGTTCGAGACCACAAATCGCGATGCGTTTCCTATTAGGCGAAAATAACGTCGACGTTATAAGTCAGCGTATATACGTAACACTGCATAATATCCGCAAGTATTATATCTATTCTCGGAAGCTGCAAGAGGTCAATAGGTCTCTTTAACCTTCGCCGTACCTTTTTTTTCTTCACCGTCACATATACGATGTGTTGAACACACGACGCATTCAAAAGAAATATTTGTCATGTACGCGCGTGTACGTTTTCAGCAATTCAATCTCTTAAATTTCTCACGCAGATAATTCTCTGAATTTATCTGATTCTTTAGATTCCTTTAAATCGTGGAAAACAAATTTCTTGTTTTAGATTTTCTTATAGACAAGAAAATTATAATAATTATATAAAAATATACAAATAATATCGCGATATAGATAAGGAACATTATCTTAGCTGAAGAAAGACAGACTCAAAATCAAGGAAACTGCCATTAAAACATCTGTCAGTAACTGCGAGTCACGTATGCGTGACCCACGGTATCATGTGTCTAAGCAGTGTCATGACGTTTTGCATATTTTTTTTAGTAATGCGCGAAGGACATTAAAGTGCTTTCGTTATAATAAGACGCGAGCACGTGTCCAGTGTGTGCTATTCTCGCATGCAAATCTATTATCGATTATGTGATTAAAGCAGCCGATTCTGATCAATAGATTGTAAAAAAATTATAATGCATTTATGTACCCGCAGCGGTTTATATACATATATATGCATTATTACGAAACGGAGGAAAACAGATAAGTCTTTCCAGCAAAATCGTCTCGCTATTTTCATATCAGATCTGTTACACTTTACAGTATCATTGCGACAAGAAATAATTAATTAATACTGATAACAAACGAATTATTAACGTCAACGTTTATTAATTAACGTACTAGGTCTAGCAGAAAAACATGATTATACAGATTGCTGTCGTCATGGACAAAAAAATAACATTCTCCAAGCTTTGTGTAAAAAAAAGACGTTGTTTGGTTAAGATTTTGTTTTCTTGAATATGCATAATTTAGAAGATATTTATGTAAAAATTATAAAGCAGTAAGTATAATAAATATTACGTTATTTCTTAATAAAAATAAATAAATAAAAAAGTCCTAAGATATTTTTCCTTCAATATTTAACAAAAGAAATATTATTATATATATATATAAAATTCATCCAATCAACATCGTTCTTTAGACGAACGTACATGAGTTGTAAGGTACATATCATAATGTGCGTGAGAATAACAGTGCTGAATCGCGATTCACAAATTTATCTAAAGAAATGGATTTTTACTGTGTATTTTTAATTATCAACTATTGCATACAGTAACAGGCGCAAATTATAAATACTTTCTAGAGTCTAATAGAAATAAAAATTAGTGATTTTATTTTGCAATTCCCTCTAGAGAGAAAATTAGGAATTAGTAACTAAACAATTTCTAATTCATTTCTTATAAATATATGTTTAAATAAATATTATCAATTTTAGAAAATTCTGAGCGGTAATTTAGATGGATACATTACAAAACAATTTAGATTATCTATATATATATTTTAATTTTTCATTCGCATAATATATAATAATTTTAGATATCTTCAGTTTTGTGACGCGCAGAATATTTGCACTTGGAATAAATGTGTTTTATTATATCGATATTTTTGGAACATGTGGTAAACGCATTTGGTAAACAGATCCGTGGAAGCTTACTGCTGTTGAGAGATAATCCGCCACGTCATCTTCCTTCAAAATACGTCCTCTACATCTTTTGCAATTTAGAGATGCAAGTCAATAACAAGCTTTCAAAACTTTCAAGCAGTCAAAGGAAGTATAATATTTGTAATCTGGCGATAATGGTCTAATCATTAGCGATAACATGGTGCGAGTTTATCGGCTACGACGCTTATCTCTAATAGGTTGAGAAAGAAAAATAAGAAGATTTTGAAAACAATAGAGACCGGGAACAATGCGAAAAAGAATTTTATAGTTATATAATTACATCTAAATTAGATATAATACAAATATTACTAATCTTCTTTTAATGGAATCGTATAAATTTTTCACGACTTAGTTTCGCTATTTTGCATATAAAGGTATTGAAGTAAAGCTATAAAAAATGTATAGTTTACGAAACATCTCTACGAGCTTAAATATTTTTTTTTTAATAATTCAAAATATTTGATATGATATACTAAAACAGCCTATCTTGTATAACTTCTTTCAAATATTTACCGCGCTCAGATACTTTTACTTCCTAAATCCAGATGCTCAGATTACGATAAAGAATGCAGAATCGTTAAAATCAATAATATCGAGAAAAATATATGACAGCAACTTCTATAAGTTGTACAGAAGTGCTATTTTTCATTGTAAGTTTATAAAACAGAATTTTTTATTATACTCGTTATTTCATATTTAACTATCTTTGATACAAGATATTGTCCAAACATAAAAAAGCGTTGTAATTAATTTCCAAGATAATTTTTCTTGAAAATGCCATAAGTAAAAAAAAACTACTCTATACTTTTAAAACTTATTCTATATATCTTTAATTTATTTCTCCACAAAAAATCATTGCTTTCTCGATAACATTTTTTCAGAGATATCCTATATAATAACACATACAGGGTGGCATATGAAATTTTATTTTATTATTTTATTAAAACTATACTTGTAAAGTATTAATTTTTTAACTATGTGAGTAAATTTTTTACTAATTCATGAAAATTCTGTGTGGCATTACGAGTTGGCGAAGACACTAATTTGTGAAATGACGATTGACTTGAAAAGTTGAACATAAAATAAAAGTAGCATTATTTTTCGCAGAAATAAAGAATGTGATAGAAACTTAAAGATGTGTCCGTCTACATCGTGCAGTGTGCCATTATCTGAAGATTTCTATCAAAAAGTATAGTCAAACATAAAGGCGTATTTTAAGACAAGATGGTTATATTGAATGTTATCTATTAAAGATAATTTTCCGAGCTTTGGTAATTATTCTACC